AATTAACTTTGTATAAGATAGTGTAACACTATTAGTAATGTGTATTGGGTACCTGAACTCAAAAATAATCTCTTGAGCGTTGGACAACTACAAGAAAAAGGAGTAGCAGTGCTGTTCAAAGATGATGTATGTAGCATTTATCATCCACAAAAAGAAAAAATAGAGAGTCAATTATGAGAGCAAATCGACTGTTTATTTTGCGTACTAAACCATCTACCACAACAAATGAAGGAAGATGCCTCCAAGTTTCAAATACGGATTAGTCATCACTTTGGCACCATCGTTATGGTCATCTCGGCTACAAAGGCTTGTGCACCTTGAAACACAAAAACATGGTGAAAGGCGTGCCGCAAATTGTAGCTCCAAACACCACCTGTGAGGCATGTATGAAAGGCAAACAACATTGGACTCTATTTCCAAAAATTGGTAAATGGAGAGCAATGAAAAAATTGGGTCTTGTTCATGCAGATCTATGTGGTCCAATTTCACTAGGCTTTAAGTGGCAAAAAAGAGTACTTGTTGTGCTTTATAGTTGATTTTTCAAGGAAGTCAATGGTGTTATTTTCTTGGCAAAAAATCAGAAACATTTTATCATTTCAAATGTTTCAAAGCAATGGTGGAAAAGGAAATTGGAATGCCTATAAAATGTTGAAGGACAAATAGAAGAGGAGAATTCAAACGATTTTTGCAAACAACATGGAGTGAAGAGACAATTGACCACAACATATACCCCACAACAAAATGGAGTGGCCGAACGCAAAAATTGCATTGTAATAAACTTGGTAAGAGCTATGCTGACAGAGAAGAAAATGCCTAAAAATTTATGGCTTGAAGCAGTAAAGTGGACAATTCACATTTTGAATCAATCACCCACTCTTGCAGTAAAAGACATAACACCAGAAGAAGCTTGGAGCGGAGTGAAACCATCAATAGATTATTTTAGAGTTTTTGGATGTGTGGGACATGTCCATATTCCAGATGCCAAGAGAAGCAAACTTGAAGATAAAAGTGTAACATGTGTTTTATTTGGAGTCAGCAGCGAATCCAAAGGTTATAGAATGTTTGATCTAACTACAAATAAAATTATAGTAAGTGGTAATGTAGCTTTCGAGGAAGATCATAAATGGGACTGGAAATTTTTTTTTTTTTTTGAAGATGAAACAAAATTGGACTAGGAAAAAATATTGAAATTGATGAGAACACAACCGAAGAAGGAGAAATCACGGACGAAACGACTAAACTGGTTGCTGAAACAATTGAACCAGTTGCTGAAAACAAAGAAGGGGAAATCACGGAAGAAACGACTGAACCGCTTGCTGAAACAATTGAACCAGTTGTTGAAAACAACTTTTCAGTAGTTGTTGCACCAGATTTGACAATAAGGGAGGGGAGAAATCGACATCCACTAGTATGGTTAGCAGATTATAACATTCTTGATGCTTTCAAATCCTGTGAATTTTGAGGAAGCTATCGAAACTCCAAAATGGAGATTGGCTATGGATGAAAAAATCAAATCCATTGAAAAAAAAATCAAACATGGAACTTAGTGGTTCTACCGGCTGGAGCAAAGAAAATAAGAGTGAAATGGATTTATAAAACGAAGCTAAATGAGTATGTAGAAGTTAATAAATACAAAACAAGATTGGTTGTAAAAGGCTACACACAAGAGCATGGAATTGATTATGCAGAAGTGTATGCACCTGTGGCTAGAATGGACACCGTGAGAAAATGATCATTGCTTTTGCAGCCCAAAAAGGTTGGAAACTCTATCAGTTAGATGTCAAATCAGCTTTTTTATATGGCGAGTTAAAAGAAGATATTTTTGTTGAACAAGCAAAAGGCTATGAGAAAAAGGAAAGTGAGGAGATGGTTTACAAACTCCAAAAGGCTCTCTACAGATTAAAACAAGCACCTAGAACCTGGTTTAGTCGAATGGAATCCTACTTCATCAAGAAAGGATCCAAAAACAGTTCCAATGAGCAAACACTCTTCGTCAAGAGGAAGGGAGCTAAAAGGGTTTTAAGTGACTATGTCGGAGACATGGAAGATAGCAAGAGTACTTTAGGCTATGTGTTTATGATGAGTGGAGGAGCAATAGCTTGGTCTTCTTGTAAACAGCATATAGTCCCCTTATCAACCATAGAAGCTAAGTTTGTTGTTAGTGTCTGTGCATGTCAAGCTGTTTGGATGAGGAGGATACTCAAAGAGATTGGTCACTCTCAAATAGAAGCAACAAAGCTAATGTGTGATAATACTTCAACTATTAAGCTATCCAAAAAAAAATCCAGTTCTACATGGACGTTCTGTAACGACCCTAAATTTTCACATACTCAGAGTCGCTACTAACGTCTCATGCTCATCTATAATGCGAAAATATAACTCTTACATGAACATAATTAATAACGTAAACTTCAAAAACCGTTTAAAACAACTCCTTCTCTGGAAAACACAGCCATGGTCTTACGTGTTTAAATATGAAATACTGAAATTTAGAGAAAATAAAAACAAATACAAAATAATTTAAAACAATGAAATGCAAAACAACCTATTCTAACTTAAGACTAGAGATTTAAATATGAATCTACCCTATGCACGTGCCACAGTCTCTACTTGTGATGCCGCCGTCATCTGTACAAGTACGCCTTGCCTTTACCTGAAAAATGATGTGGCACTTGGCCTGAGTATTTCAAAGAATACTCGGTAAGTGGCCCCACTATAGGGGTCATGCAAATGCAAACACATGCAATCATGATTTAGGGACCTATCTCTAATCATCTTAGGGGTGGCCTCCAGTCTCGGACAAATTGGATGTGTAGTACTTCCCTACCCACGACTCACATGTACGAGTGTGAATCCCCAGGGCACTCGCACACCCCCTGGACCCTCTGGTCAAGCTAATCTCTAGCGACGTCCGGAGGTCAGCGGAACCTCATAGTGTCATGCACCTCATGAACACCCTCATCTGTGTGCTTTCGCACTTGTGCGCATTCGCGCTCATCATACGGTGCGCGTCCACACTTATCATCTCTAGGGGAAGTAGCCCTATGCTTATGAACATACAATATGCATGAGGTCCCTCTAAATCCATCATAATGTCTCTTCTGACACAACCCTCTAGTCTCATCTCTTTGTTACTCTAGGTAACACATACTCGTGGATATTTATAATAATATCATTTTCACGCTCTTAGGGTTGTGTCCTATGTCGATCTAACGACATGATGCAATATGGCACTCATCATCATCTAGCATGCTCAATATGGAAAACATCACCATATTAAGGTAAACGTCACGCAATCATCATACTCATCATATTGCCACAAAGTGCATCAAACATATCAAGTACGACATTCATCAAAATATATATATATACTGAGCACATCATCAGGTATCATAACCCACACATCATCATAAGTCATACATCATACATCATCATAACTCATAGACCGCATCGTATGACATAGTTCATACATCATCGTAACTCATACAATTTTTTAGCCTATCCTATAGTAAGGCCACTTACCTGGTTGGCCTTAGCCGAAGTATTCCCTAATTTAATTAACGTAAGCTCCCGTTCCTCAAGAGCTGCTCAAAATGTTGCTAGAGTTCACTTCATATCGAACCGTTCATTGCCTTTCGTTAGCATTTCACATTTTAATTAATAATCCAACTAACAATGTGAAATACAGCTCTAAAACAGTCTCAGTAAAAAATCGAATTCCACGTTTTCATTGTTTCTAAATTTTAGTTGGGTAGTAAAACTTAAATTGAAAATATGTCAATATTATTTCATGCTTCAATCATTCAATCCAACTCTGGTTTGTTATAATATTATATTCTCTTGGTACAAATACTAATAATTTCTCCGATCTTCCATTTTCCTTCTCTCTATTGTACCACTTTTGTTTCTCTTCTCTCGGACTTCTTTTTCTTTCGTATGAATGACTATGCAGTTATAAAATAATATTCAATCAATTCTGTTTTCTTCTCCTCCCTACCATGACTATCCATTAACCGGAGCCATTTTCAATCTTTTTTTTTTCTCTTTTCTAAAAACTACTATCATGAACCGAAGACATTTTTAATCTATTCTGTTTTCTTCTCTTTCCTTTTACAATCTATTATGTTTTCTTCTCTTTCCTAAAAACTACACTCAACTGAAGTTATTTTCAATCTATTATGTTTTCTTCTCTCTCCCAAATGACTATCCAATTGGAGAAGTCATTTTCAATCTATTTTAATTTTTCTCATTAAAAATGTCTATGCATCCATCAATTATGATTTTCTTGATGATTCAATTTAGATGCAATTCACAAGCCATTTTCAATTAATTTTGATTTTCGATAAGATATCCAAAAATCTAAATAATTGAAAAATAGATGTAAGATAACTTTTCTATCTCTTGCAAAACAGCAAAGATAAGGAGATCTAACTTTTAATGATTACTTTTCCATCTCTTTTCATTCCTATTCAATCTCGTTTAAGTGGAGGCTATCTCCAATTCTTCTCTCACAGAGAGGTGGAGAGAGTGTGATAATTTACTTTTTTTATTTTTTTAATTATTATTATTATTTACTTATTATTATTATTATCTCTCTTTTTTTTCTGTCATTACATGTTTCACTTTCTTTGAGATTTTACAAAAGAAGTTATTATTTTGTGATACCTGAAATCAACGTGCTGATTTGTTGACAAAACCTCTAAAATTAGAAGCATTTCAAAAGTTGCGTGAACAACTTAATGTGCAGAGTTTTTTTTTTTTTTTTCTGACTTAGAATTAATTCTTGACATAGAAAAATAAGTTCAAGAGAGATTGTTAGAAGAATATGATTATGTCAAAAATAATAAAATAAAGATGGTAATACCCGAATTTTTAGATAAATAAATAAAAAAATAAAATAACAACATAGGGGCAAAAGGGTCATTATGCCCCTGCTCTTACCTAAGGGGTCGAGTTGTTTCGGCTCCAAGAAGAAAGAGAGAAAAGAAAAAAAAAAAAAAGAGAGAGAGGAAGGAAAAAAGGAGAGGAAGTTAGGGTTTGGGAGAGAGGAAGAGCAGAGAAGACAAACTGCCATTGGAGATCGAATCCAAGGCAAAAAACTTCGAAGCAATACTTCTCTCAGGGCTGGAAAAGGAGTTTGGGTGGTGGATCCACTCATTCCGGCAAGAAAATTCGAGAACGGACAAAGTAAGGTTCCGAACTTCTTGTTTCAATTTTATCTAGATCTGAGGAGTTTCTTGAGCGTTAGATCTGGAGTTTTTGAGGTATGTGACTAAAATAAGATTCACACAGGTTTCTTGAAGTTCCTGGACGAAAATTGGAGTTTAGTCGGACTTCGAGTAAACCGATCGAAAACAGAAATGTGAGTTTTTCCGTATCTTTGGACAGTCTTAACTCATCCTGTGCTCAAGGAAAAAATAAAGAAAAAATATATTGTAGAAGTAGAATATGAGATCTACAATATTCGTGTATTGTTGATATGGATTATGAATTGAAAGATAAGAAAATTCGAAGAAAATAGATCGAAAATGCTAACATCTGGAAATTGAAACACACTCTGGAGAGAGAAGCGTCGGCTGGCGTACGGAGGAGAGAGGAGGAACCGTGATCGACATTTGGCGAACTGCGGCTGGAGAGGCGTGTCCCACATGCTAGGCGACACGCGTCAGGGCGCGGATTCAAGTCAACTCGAGTCCGATCATGCGCTCCGCACACGAACAGAATCGCCGCGAGAGCGCTCCGACCTGTCCGAACTGCCCCGTCTCGACCCGCGACTGTACAGAATGGAGCACGTGGGTACGCGCGCGTAGAATCCGCGCGGTTTACACCCTTCAGAGAGCGTCGGCGCGTGTAGGCGCGTGAGTGAACTTTTTCCCTCCGTTCGACCTCCGTTTGCTTGTTTTTCGCCCCGATTTCAACTCCGATCCTATTTTATGTGAATTAGGACCTATCAAGGAAATTCCAGAATTTTTGGAACCTTTTCTGACAAATAATTTGAGCTTGAGAAGGCACGCGTCAACCATGTAAGTAGCCATTTGGATTCCCACGAGAAGTACTTGTAGGAACCGCTAGGAACAAGCATGCATGCTACCATCCATTAACTTAGCTAGCTGAACCTAGCATATTAGTATGGAAACTGCGAAAATGAAATGATTAAGGAAAGCTAGATGCGAAATGTTTAATTAAATCTGTTTTGATTGAGAATCTGATAAAGTATGTATGCATGAGGAGGATAGGAAACTTGTGAAATCTGCGCTCCGGGTGAAGATGGACGTTATCTTCCCGTCGAGCATGTTTATTAATATTGCATGAACTGTTGCCTGTAAACTCTTATGCATGATGATAGCTTGTGTTATCTTTCTTGTTGAATAGGAAGGAATTATGAGCGTGGATTAGGGTGCTTGTGACTAAGTAGCCTAGACGAGTTCCTAGATTGTGAGACCTCTAGAACACCGTGCATATAGACCCGCGAAACGATTACTGGTAGATCTAGAGCCCAAAATTCCAAACCCAATAGGTTTGTGAGACCCGACACAAGAATCTTAGAGATGCATGAATCCAAGTCTAAGCCACCAAGACCCACCCTAGAAAGGATAGTAGGACACTACAGTAACTGTAGGTAGCCCGCTAGAGTTGAGCAGTGTGGGTAGTGTCATCAGAACCTCCACTTCCCTCTCTGCTTCGATACCATACCGTCGAGACAGAGCTCCAGTACGAAGATCGTTGAGCTTGGCAGATCCGGATAGGGAAGTGTGACAGGTGCCTAGACCTAGTGATAATAGCTAAGGGGTCTTCTGAACAGGACTCCTAGGCCGTAGAAACCCGTCCCTGAGCGGGGGACATGGAGCCACGTAGGATGACTCAGTAGCTGACCAGCACACAGGGGGTTGCGCCCTAAATTTAGTGGATGTATGGTCCCGTGTGAGGGTCGTCAGCTAACCTCCACGGATGATGTTTAGAGAGAGTCACGTATTTAGATCCAGCCATACGATCCCCTAAGATTTACTTATGAGGTCGCGCCTCACCTCAAGACACTAACTATTTCACTGCATAAGATGGGCAAGCCTCCTAAGATACAGAAAAGGGAGTTGTAGCGTGATTCGTACTCACTAAAACCCAGAGATAAGTCCGTAGATACCTACTAAGATAAGGATGCGAAAAGAGCCTACAAGTAGATTGCTTACTGAGTATATTTTATACTCACCCCTTTCTCCCCTTTTTTTTTTCAGGTACCAGTCGATACAGGGAGGTGTTCGAGAGTTGCACTGTCACAGAGGGGTGTCGTTCCGGAGCGTCAGTCCCTTGTCGGTCTTGTTCGTTTTCATATTTAGAGTCTTTAGCATTTCATTTTATATTTGTAATTACTATTTGTAACAATTGACTTTGATTTTATATTTAATTTTGGTGTACTTAATTTCCTTTTCTTGTTTTAAATTTTGTCCGATTTTTACCTTCTATTTTATTTTCTTTTTATTTTTATTTGTCTTCGATTTCGTCTTTTTAGTCACGATTCGGTCTTTCCAAGCCTAGAAAGTCACGCAGTGACAGAGATATTTTTCTTTATTTATTTAGTTAGAATATTTTTAGTATTTAGTTTAACTATTTTTGAACATTTGTTTCTAAAATTTGTTTCCAAAATTTGTTGGAGGTCAGTTATTTATAAAACTATAAAAGCACTATTTAATAATATTATCACTTCAAACTTCAATTGTTTATCTTTCTAACTTAGTTATTTTCTCTCAAAACCTTTTGAAGGTATTTGCTACAATTGCGGAAAGGGCTACATGTCCAGAGATTTTTTGTGCAGGAAAAAGTACGTTGAAAGCAATGTGGCATCTTCCAACATGTAGATGGAGGAGGAATGGGATGTAGAGGCAATATGTGTCATAGAAGAAGATGAACCAGTGCTCATGGCGATGATGGGAGAACATATTGATTACGGGGATGACGGGATCATTGTTTAAGGATGGAAGTAAGGTGGTCCTCAGATAAGGAAGTATTATCGGACTTGGGCAACATTGAAAACAATTCTATCACAAAAAACGAGGGAGCAAACTGGACACATTTGCTTAAGTTCTAATGTGCCTGAAGATCTAAGTGACACTAGTGTTGGTGAGCAGGAAGTGGCTCAACCAAGCGAAACTAGTGAAAAAGAAAGGGCACCTCAACAACTTAGATGATCAGAAAGTGTAACGACCCGAAATTTTCTACTTAATTTAAGGTCGCTACTATTACGTACCATAAACATTGAATGCAGAAGACTTCATTTAAATTCCATAAAACATAACCTTTAACTTAAAACACAGCCATGGACTTACATGTTTCGAGAACTTCTTTAAAACGACACAACAAAAGACCCGAAATAAAATAAATAAGCGTTTAAGTTTAAAACATCCTATTCTATCCTAAGTCTAAGAATAAATACCACTATCCTATGCATGTGCCATGATCTCGAGTTGCGATGCCGTCGTCAGCCGTACAGGAATGTCTTGCCTTAACCTGAAAAATGTAGTAGCACATGACTTGAGTATTTCAAGAAATACTCAGTAAGTGACCCCACTATTGGGGTTAAATGCAACAATCACATGCAATAAAATGATGGGACCTATCTTTCGTTTCGTTTCGTTTCGTTTCGTTTCGTTTCGTTTTCCCTACGGTGTAATCCTAACGGGTAATCGTGGACGTGTACCATATACTCTACACGCAGCCCATACGTGCAAGTATGGGCTCACCAGCTAGTTCGCACACCGCTGGCCCACTGTCCCTAGCCGGTGGGCATGCTCTGGGGGCCTACTGGGACCCGTTAAAACTAAAACCGTCACGACAGCGCTATGCAGGGCATAACGATCGTTGTTCTGCCATTTGGATGTATGCGTCCGTACCCTCGTGATGGGATAGGGGTATCCCCCCAAATGCATGATCACACAATATGCATGAGGTTCCACTAGTCCTACAACCATCATTTAATGAACATAACCCCATGTCACGTTTTCATGCTTACATGTCATTCTCATTCTCATTTCGTTACATATCATACATATTCCTAGCGGAGTTATGTATCATGCAATTTACCGTTTTTCATGTCATACGATTCATTCAGTTACATTCCAATACTCATACAACAAGCCATAATCGTACAAGGGCCACAAATCGTCACATGCATTCATATCACATCAACTAAGCAGCATGCATAACATACATTCACGTTCACATGATTTCGTACTTAAGCACAATAATCTAGCATACAATGTACCATATCATAAACAGGTCATAACATAAACACTTCATGATCATATCGTTCTCTAACTTACCATAACACTATCGTTCTATCAATCTATCACAAACCTATCCCTTTCTACCCATAACCTAACCGTATTCTTTCATCAATCTCTCCTATCCATAGCACTCCGGTATGTAACCTGACCTTAACGTTTCATGAACGTAACTTACTTCAAACCTTACATTTTGTTTTGTGCATCCTTCTCGTATCCTATCTCAAACATATCCTTGAGCACATCGTACCATAATTATTATCATACAAACCACATATAATAACATAACATAACATATAGAAAGCATATCGATCCACAGACAATTCACACATATCAATATATATGACACGTGCAGAACCACAGGGCACGTGTAAACATCAAATATAACCATGCCTATAGTAAGGTCACTTACCTAGCTCGCTTAAGTCATTGTCACAAATATATCTTTAATGAAAGTTTGATTCCGTCCTTTGAAATCCAAGTCAACCTATATGAGCTCATGACATCAGTTTCAAGTATGAACTCTATAAAATTATTTCCCTAATTTACATTTACCATCTTAAAATTCTGATCTTTTGTTAGACAAATTTTTAAAGAAGCTCCCTGCCCTCTGATAAAAATTCTTACAAAATTTAAAGGGGCTCACTACCCTCTTATTTGTTAAATACTCTTTAACAAATCTTTACTCAATCTCCCTCCCTCTCTCTCTCATTCTTTTTTGATAGTTTTTCAATTGTGTAAACATATATTACTAGCCAATTTTAAGTAGACGGCTAGATCTTTTAGTTTATAATCTGCCACCTAAAATTTTATTGAATCTAACCTTTAGTATATGGGATCTGATTATTACAAACTGTAAGATAGGAAAGAAGATTTGATCCTAAATTAATTTCTTATAACCATAACTATATGAAAAGGAAATCTGAGATAGAATTTTACCGGTAATAACCGACAAAAATCTCTAAATCTGCAATCTGTTCAATGAATGATAAATCATAGATCGAACTGCCGAATCGGAAAAATGGAGTGCTATCATATAGCTTTGTATCGGCTAAGTTCACGAGTTGGAGATAAGCGGACTCGAACCGCTGACATCCGCCACAGGGTAAACCACCGCCTCTCAGGTCCCCGACTGATTCTACCATAGAGGCCAACGATAGACAATAACTCCCCCCCGAACACAGCTTACAACTTTCATCGTACTGTGCTCTCCAAAGAGCAACTCTTCTCAAAATCTTAAAAGGGATGAGAGGTTAGTGGAGGTGGGGAAAGATTTTTTTTTTATTTTTTTTATTTTAATTTAATTAATTTATTTATTTATTTATTTATTATTATTATTATTATTTTAACTTTTTATTTGTTTATTTCTTTATTTATTTTTGGGCTATTACACAAAGAATCCAAAAGTCAAATACAAAGTATGTCAATACAATTATAATAAAAGACGAAATTAAAGGGCTAGAGACGTATGAAGAAACGTCACAAAATACAGCTTGGCAACAGGCAATGAAGGAAGAAACTATAGCCTTAGAACAAAATCAAAATTGGGAATTAGTATAAAAACGAGAAGATGTTAGATCCATCTTTTGCAAGTGGATTTACAAAATAAAGTGTACCTCAGATGGATCAATTATGAGATAAAAAACTCAGACTGTAGCTCCAGGGTTCTCTCGACAATATGGACTAGACTATGATGAAACGTTTCATCTAGTGGCGAAGATCACTATCGTACAGGTTCCTCCCGCACTTGTGGTAAATAAAGATTGGAAATTATGGCAGATGGATATGAAGAATGCTTTCTTTCACAGAGAGTTAAACAGAGAGATTTACATGGACCAACCGAAGAAATTTGAGAATTGAGTTGGAGTCATTAGTCAGTACATGTAAAGTGTAAAGAAGCCTCATTTGGATCTGGCTCGATGGACCTTGAGATATGTCAAAAGCACAATCAATTATCATTTGTATAAAAGAAGCGAAAACTACAAGCTAGCTAGATACTGTGATGCTAACTATGCAGGATATCACGATACTCGAAGATCAAGCACCAAGTATGTGTTCAAGTTTGGTTCTTGAACAACTTCTTGGTGTAGCAAAAGACAATCAACAGTATCATTATCAACTAGAGAAACAGAGTATAGAACAACGGTTGATTAGCTCGGAAAGTACATGGCTGAAACTATTAATGGAAGATTGACACCAGAAAATTGACTATCCAATACCATTTCATTGCAACAACCAATCTTTGATTCTTCTTGCAGAAAATCTGGTGTTCCATGCTAGAATAAAGCATGTGGAGGTGTACAACCATTCCATTAGCGAGAAAGCTTTGACGAGAGAAATCGATCGAGTGGCAGACTTGTTTACAAAAGAGCTAACATTAGAGCTTTCATTGTCCGTTCAACATGGTGCAGCGAATGAGAACTATTGCTAAGGGAGAATGTTAAATATCATCTCTACCTCAATAGGGTTAAGCCTAATAATTGTATGAACGATTGTTTATTTATATTAGGAAAATGATTTAGAAATTTTTGGAATAAAGATATTATATATTTTAGAAAAATGATTTAAGTAGGATAGAAATAAAGATGTCTATATATTAAATATTTTTTTTATATATTTTAGGAAAAAGTTAGAAATTTTAGAAATAAATTGTGCCGTCTCTATTATAAATATCCTCCACCTACCTAATAGGTTATCATCTAAAAGAAATACAAAGCATATATTGCAATAGTTTTTCTACAGAGTATCTTGTATTCTTTTATCGATTGGTCTTAACAAAGAGTGCGAGTGTTTCCCATAAAGAGTTGTATTCAACAACAACGACATCATCCCTTTTTCACGTGCTTGTTCTACATTTTGTTTTTTCTCTTTTCTTCTCTTTTTCCAACATTAAGCTATTTCCTTGACACTACTTTTCTCCATCCATTTTGAGTGTACTATTGCTAGAATAAAAGATATTGAAGCAGACTTCATAGAGTTGACTGAGATATTGAAGCTCTTGTAGAAGTCATTCCTCAAGACTTATACTAACAAATTTAGGG